TTAAAATATATTTAGCTTTTTTTGGGGGGGGGGGTGCAGAATATTGGCCCACAAGAACTGGCTGTGCCCTCTGAAATTTCAATGTGAATTCACTGTGGACATTCTTCTTTTGCAGGGATTTTCAAACAACTAAGCCCAAGACTGTGTCTGACCAGGGAAAAGAAGAATCTGAAGAGGAATATGGGCCCCAGGTGGGTATTTCCTGCTGAACTATACCTGAGTATAAGGAGGACCAGACTTAAACTGTTTTGAATCTTTCAAGATGTGCTGCTAATGGCCACTCAAAGAAGATTTTGTCTATTGCTTCTGGGGGAATTGTGCCACTGCATAATGCAGAATTAATGTTCCACACAGAATTTAATTTTTCCGGCAGAATTGGCACTGCAGAGCTGCTGGCTGCTGCTAGGGGCTGCTGGACCTAGCAGAGCCAGCCCCACTTGGTCACATGTGTGACTGGGCTCTCTCTCTCTGTGTGGTAACTGCCAGAGCCAGTGAGCTGTGTCCCATGGGGAGAAGGCAGCAACACCTGGACGCAGAGGGGAGAGGGCTCCTGCTTTCTGGGATGGGAGACAGGGTAAGGGCGGGGAGGATAGCTGGGAGAGGGGGCGTGATTCAAGCTATTCTGTGGGTGACCAAAACTTTAAATTGTGGTTCTCCCTCCCTGCCCCTCCCCCCAGCTTTCAACAAGTATAGGTCATCTCTACCCAGCGGGGCAATAATGAAACTGTGCAGCTGGGCTCTGAGTGGGAGGGGATGTGGGTATCTGGCCCTGTGGCTGGGCTCTGGGTGTGTGTGCAGGTGTCTGGTGTGGCGGGGACCCATGCAGCCCTCTCCAGCACACCCAAATACCCTCTTGCAGCGTGCGCACGCACACACACACACACCCTTCCAGCACTCACCCCTCCTCCTGGCAGTATACTTTGTTTGGGAACTTGAAATATGGTAACCCTACAGGGGTAGGGCAAACAAAGGAGAATTGACTAAAAGACCAGAGGGGCAGAGTTTTCCCCCCAAGATATGCCCAGCTGGCATGTGTGACACAGCCAGACTGAGCCAACCAACAAAAGCATAACAGAGATACAGGAATGGGGTTGTCATAGGGGTTTCTTTAACACTCTACTCCTGGGAGACTCTTTTTCACTGTCTGTATTGTTACAGACATACTTGCTGACAGGTATTTTTAAATTACCAAAATAATTGAAACTGGCATGATTATATTGTATTATTTTGACAAAATATGCAGAATTTTTAATTTGACTCCCGGTGGAATTCTGCCCCAAAGCATCTATACACAATTGGACTGGTATAATTACAATTATATATTTCAAAATCAATTTAGTTAAACTGGTAGAAACCCCTGTATGGACATCCTTGAATCCATGTAAACATAGTTCACATTGGGGTTTTTTTTTATTAAACTTAATTCAGTAAGGAATTGACTTAAAATTTCTTAACGATTGTAGCAGTAATTTTGTTCCTCCTGCATGCTGGGAGTTCCAGGAAGAATTCTGTCTCAGGAAATAGCTCCTGAAGCTGTGCAATATTGTGTGCAATTTTTTCAATCTAACCCTAACACTATACGCTCTTTAGGGTAGGACCTGTCTCTTTTTTCCCTTAGGTCTGTAAAGTGACAGGTAAATTATGGTACCGTATTAAAACTTATTTCAATAATAAAACAAACAATATGATGCAGAGGCAACTTTTGATTATTCATTTATGATATTCATTGTGTTTTAATTGAATCTCACAAGATGTTTATCTCTATCTCCAGTATATTAACATTGGTCAAAATCACCACAGCACCAGCTCTGACTCCTGTTCCTACTACTTTGTTCCGCTGTCCTGGTACAAAGCAGGAAGAAAGCTGGCTACCCTGAGACCACTAATAATTTATTTCAAATATATTCTATAGTACACTACCAGTTCACCTGAACTTTAGGCACCCATATTTGAAAATGTTGGCCAACATTTTATATAGTAAAATTGATTATATGTAACCCACAGACCTTCTGGGTGTGGTGTTCTGTCCCATCTAGTGGCACTGATACCACTTAGAGAGAGAGTTAAATGAGTCTGCTCTACAGCCTTCGCGAACAGCCAGTTGGCTTTTAGTGCATGAACTAAGCTCCAAAGGTCCCTGATTTGATCCCACCCACCGACGACCGGGGTCTGTCGGCATTACATATACACATTATTATAAGCCGCTATACAAATTGTAGCATAGGAAGGCAGCAGCGGCAGTATTACTGAGACATACAGCTTCACTTTCCTAATGATGAGACTCCACATCAGTGAAGAGAACAAGTCCTGAATACTCTGTTCCTTATTTAGCCTCCAATAGTATTAAATGTAACCTTGAATACATCACTTTCAGTTTAGCTCTTTGGGTTGCAGGAGGGAGCTGAGAAGGGAGGGGAAGCCAGTTTTTCCACGCCAGCACATGGGTGAGTGTGAAGGAGGTGATAGTACAAGTGATTACTCTGTATTTACATTGGAAAGAAATGCCCTTGGTTCATTCAATAAAACCAGCTGCCTTGTGGAGGCGAAGGAATTAGTAAAGACACAAGGTAGAATATTGCTGCTCGTGAGCAATATGTAGAGATAAGGAGCAGATCTGTATGTAGTAAAATATTTTCTTTGTTCCCCTTTTCCTCCCCACTTGATCGTATATTGGCTTCAAAAGGACACAGTAGTTGATGGAATATCAAGTGTGGAATATTAGCTCAGAGTTTTTATTCATATGTTACAAAAGGTATTTGTGTCCCATTGTGATTGGCTCTGCTATAGTGGCCATCCTATTCTGATGTTTGCCTTTTAGCTCTTCAACACTTCAGCTATTTGGAACAGATGATAGAACAAAGATTTTTGTTCAAATGAAATTTTTCTTCCATTGATGCTGAATAGACATCCACCTCCAAATATTTCAGACTTCCCCGTGTATCCTTGTGAATGATCTGGAATTCATGCCAATTAGTGCTCAGGCTAGTTAAAACTACTAAAATAGTGAGGGATATAATTTCAGTAAGTTTTATACCTGAATTACATAACCAAAATGTACTGTTGCATGGTGAGTGGGTTTTTTGGTTGAAGAACAAGGGATACAGCTATGTTAGAACAAATCTGTAAGAATCTGCTCAGCAACTGAGGCCCATTGCTCAAGCTTGATGTTATAGCTCCACTTTAATCCAAAATGGCATCTGTGTGGCCTCCCAGATGTATGTAACCTCCAGGGCCAGCTCCAGGGTTTTTGCCACCCCAAGCGGTGGAAAAAAAAAAAGAAAAGAAAAGAAAAGAAAAAAGAAAAAAAAGCCATGATCGCGATCGGTGGCAGCTCCACCGCGCCGCTTTCTTCGGCGGCAATTTGGTGGCAGATCCTTCCTTCCAAGAGGGACCGAGGGACCCGCCGCCGAATTGCCGCCGAAGAGCCCGACGTGCTGCTCCTTCCCCTTGGCCGCCCCAAGCACCTGCTGTTGAGCTGGTGCCTGGAGCTGGTTCTGGTAACCTCCTCCTATGGAAGTATGAGTCCTCACCCCCAAGAGTGTGTTGATTTTTGGATTGTAGAAGAGTTTAGAATCATGAACGGGAGTTAAATTAAAATCTTAACAACCATTACATAAAAGCACTGTGAAGAGCAGCTACTCCCCATTAACTTCTGTTGGTGAAAGAGACAAGCTTTTCAGCTTACACAGATTGGAGCTCAGTATAAAAGCTCAAAAACTTTTGTTTCACAAACCGTAGTCCAATAAAATATTAACTCACCCACCTTGTCTCTCTAATAGCCTGGAACCAACACAGTTACAACAACATTGCATACTCCCCATTATGTTGTTTTTTTAACTAGTTTTTAGGAAAGGCATGGAGTTTCAATAGTAAAACCTTCAAAAGGGCTCTCATCCTTTCTTTTGAATCCCACTGCCGTTTAATAGATTGTCCAGTGTTCCTTACTGCCAAACAGATGGTTGATGTCACAAGAGACATTTAAGCAGCAACTCTCAGGTAACATCAAACAGAAGGCCAGCTGAATGATTGCAATTATCCTAGTATTTTGAGTTTAACATGTGAACTCCCTCTCTGTGGAAGCCTTAATAATAAAAGGGTTTCACTTCCATTTCCACTGCTGTAGATTCTTAGCAAATTAGCAACCGATTGTATAAACTGCAATATTGTGATTCCACATATAATTTATAGCTGGGCATCAAGTCAATAGCCATCAAAGGGGAAAAGTTTAATCCAGCCTATAAATCAATTCCAAAGTCCTCTATTGAAGCAAAACTGCCTGTGCTTTATTCTGATGAACTGAAACTGCTGGAAACAGCCCAGTGTGTCAGAGAAAACAGTTTCTGGCGTATGCTAGCTCAGGTGTATTACAGGAATGGGGAGCCTGGCAATTGTTGCAAATATGGAAAAACAGCATGCTGCAAGTGTAATCCTGTGTATATCTAAACTCCAAATAGTATGCTCATCTATGTGTATATAAAACACAGACACCAACTTCAGACATCTGATCTACCTCTCTTAAACCAGATTTAAATCAGTGTTGCTCCATTGATTTACACCAGCTGAGGAGTTGGCCCTTTATTATTAAAATAAGTAAGAAGCAGGAATAGGCTATAACATACATGTTTAATAATGATGATTGAAGGATAGATACCTACCAGAGGAAAGCGATTCTATGGTACAGCTTGCTTAAGAGACCAGTAGATGGCAATATCTCTTATCTTTATCAGAATTAGAAATACCTTGAAATCAATATATGCCAAGGAGTTTCTCAGTGGTATGGAGACCCAAGGAGACCCTATTATCTAGCAATTTGTGTCTCAAAATATTGTCTCACTTCAAATTCCAGTTAGCATTAGGATAGAGAAGCGGGGTGGATAGATCTAGACGGAATGTCAAGATAAATTATTCAATTGCTCCCAAACTGAAACTACCATTTAAGAAACTAGGAACCAGAATCTCAGCGGGTGTAAATTGACATAGCTCAATCGAGGTCAATGGACTGCCAGTTTACACCACCTGAAGATCTGGCTCAATATTGGATGCATGTATTATAACAAATGCCTTGCAGCACCCCCAGTGTTAAATTTGCCAAGATTAGCTCCTTACAGCTTCTGAAATATCGCAGTTTGTCACATGAGAAGTGGTCGTTTTTAGGACCCAGAGTTATTTCTGATTGTGCTGCTTTGGAAACCACTATGTAAACTGGGACTGGCCACGGTATCGTCTAGTGTAACCACCTGTATCAGAAAGAAGTGGAGTTAACACATTGCTATCATTCTTCTTGTTTGGTCAAGGAGGGTGAGGATGATGGCTGAAAGCTCCTGTTTTTGGTAGCGTATGCAGGACGAAGGCATGTGGTGACCAGTTCTCCTTGTTGCCATATAATTCTCAATTTCCTATAACAGGTTTTATTATTGTTTTTGTGTTACAGTAGCACTGGCCGACCTCAGTCAGGGATTGGAGCCCCATTATTTTGGGCCCTGTACACACACACACACACACACAAGATAAAAGACCATCCCTGCCACAAAGAACTTACCCTTCTCTTCACGTGTCAAGCTTTAGTTGACCTCCCTCCCCCCCCCCCCAAATTTGCTCCTTATTGTTTAGCTGCTTTTTGTTGGGTAGGTTCTCTTAAGAATTTCTGATTTAGAGAAAGTTTGGCTTAAGTGATTCACCCAGCATCACACAGGAACTTTGTGGCAGAGGCAGGGATAGAATCCAATCCTTCAGGGCAGCATTCAGCTGCCTTAACCATGAGACTGTCCTTTCTCTTCCTGAAGTCTCCTGCCTCGTTCACTAAACACCTTCCAACGTCCACAACAAATGAGGCACGGATCCGATAGCCAGCCTTCTTCACTATCCATTCTTGATTTCATTTCCTGATTCAACCAGGCCCAGTTCTCCCTGTCTACTCTGGCTCCTCATCAGTTCTGTCTTCTCTCACCTCTTTCCCACTGGTTCTGAGTCCCTGGCCTAGTCTGTACTAGGTAAGTAGGTTGGCGTAACTACCTCGCTCAGGGGTGTGAAAAATCCATAGCCCTGAATGGCAAAATTAAGCTAACCTATGTCCCTGTGTAGACAGTGCTAGGTTGATGGAAGAATCCTCCCATCAGCATAGGTAGTGTTTAAACTGAAGTGCTGTGTGGCACTGCTGTGCTGCTGTAGCATTTTAAGTGTAGACAAGCCCTCAGTCTACTTACATAGCTAATCCCAGTCTCTCTTTCCCCCCCACCCCCATCCCACTCTGCACTTTCCTCTACTCCCTGCAGGTTCAGCTTTTCTCCCCTGTGTATTCAACTCTGATGGCTTCCTCCTCTATGCTGCCTGGGCCATGCAGGGGAGTCACTAAGAGCACAGGAGAGACAGGTTCCTTGTTCTCAGTTCAGGTGTCTGGAACTGGAAATGCAGTACAGCCTGCGGCAGCCCAGAGAAAGTCCTGCTTAGTGCCAGGCTGCAGCATGCCCAGTGTAGACAGCAGCTGCAGGGAATTTTAGCTGCTAACATCTAAGAAGCATGCACAAACTGCTATATTTTTCAAGGGCTTATAACTTGGCCAAACTTTGGCAGATTTTTGTGGGGATGGCAAATAGCACTTACCTGACACAAAAGCCTCTCGCAACCAGATTTCTAGTTCCCTGCTCCCAAGCATGGGGGTACTATAGCTTTTCAAAGAAAAGGTCATCCGAATTTTGTAATGTGTTTTAGCAAAAGAACATCTAGTCTTGTTCTCAGAAACAGCCAAACTGTTTTGGCTGAAAATTTTTAACACAAGTCAGCCTGAGACAGACACTTGGCATGGGAAAACTGCAGCCACCGTTAACGTGTGGCAAAGTTATAAGTAACTGAAAACCAGGTCTTATAATGAGAAGTATCATGGAACTTTAATAATAGGAGGTGCTACCAGCCCCACTCATAATAATAGTTCATATTACAGCACATAATATAAAATAATAATACTATAGACACTGGACTATATATCATTCGTAAGTCCTTCACTCTGCTCCAAATCTTCGTTGCAGCAATACAATCTGATTCGAAGTGATTTTGTCCAGAAGCTGAAAGAAAAAGGGGAACAGCCTTACCCACACAAATTCCATACAGATACTACACTTGATGAATTCATTGCCAGATTCAGCTGCCTCAGAAATGAAGAGCAACTTCCTGACAAACAGTTATCTCTGGCAGGTTAGTACATGACAGGGTAGTAATTTCTAATTGCTCCCATAGCCTCCATCTTATTTATTAGTTATTCATATGGAAGGGTGGGTTGCAGTAGAGCATACATTTGAATGAGATCCAGTTACTTGGTCATATTTGTGTCTTTTCAGATTATGTACTACTATACAACGAAAGTAAAACAAAATGTCATCTGTTCTGATTTCGGAGAGGACCACATGCTTTTTACTCTATTTCTCTAATGCTAATGTCCATTAAACTAGCTGGCTATAGGCATCAAGTAGTCTCTAAAATAGCTTGGACTTAGCCTGTAAAAAGCAGCATCTGAAAACATCTGCAAATGGATAGAGAGCCAGGGAACAACGTAAACTTGGACATAGTAATTTTTCCTTTTAAATAGAAGTTAAGTTTACTCAAAGCCTTTCATCCTTAGAGACTCACTGTTACTGTTGCATGTGACATCACATATATTCATAAGGACTCTCTCTTTCTGTATTATTAATGTTCTTCTGCACTATTTAGGTGATACTGCAAACTGCAGATACAAGTAAAATCCTATTTGAATTTGACAAAAGGTCTCTGGCTTATGCTACAACAGGTTTTTGTCAAAATACATTTAAGTGAGCCCTGGTACATTGGATAAGGCTGAGTAGAAGGTGTTCTTTGACAATGTCTGCAGAAATCTTAAACTAGGTTGCCAACTTCCTTCTTGCATAAAACTGAACACCCCTGCCCTGCCCCTTCTCTGAGGCCCTGTCCCATGTTTAATCCATCCCCCACTTCCCCCGTCACTCGCTCTTCCCACTCTCACTCATTTTCACCACACTGGGGCAGGGGGTTGGGGTGTGGGAGGGGGTGAGGGTTCTGGCTGGGGGTGTGGGCTCTGGGGTGGGGTCAGGGACGAGGGGCTTGGGGTACAGGAGGGAGCTCCAGGCTGGAGGGTGGAGCCGAGGGGTTCAGAATATGGGAGGGGGTTCTGGGCTGAGCAAGGGGGTTGGAGTGTGGGAGGGCGTACAGGTTCTGGGCAGGGGGTACGAGTTCTGGGGTGGGGCCAGAAATGAGGGGTTCAGGGTGCGGGAGGGGATTCTGGACTGGGACAGGGGGTTAGAGTGCGGGGGGAAGTGAGGGCTCCGGCTGGGGGTGCAGGCTCTGGTGAAGAGCTGGGGATGAGGGATTTGGAGTGCGGGTGTGGGCTCTGGGCTGAGGCAGGGGGTTAGGGTACGGGGTGTAAGGGCTCCAACTGGGGGTATGGACTCTGGGATGGGGCTGGAGATGAGGGGTTTGGGGTACAGGAGGGAGAATGGGATCTGGGCTGTAGCTGTGGGCTCTGGGGTGGGGCCGGGCATGAGGGATTCAGGGTGTGGGAGGGGGCTCTGGGCTGGGGCTTCAGGGGCAGGTGAGGTCTCCAGCTGGGGGTTCAGGATCTGGGCTGGGGCTGGGGATGAGGGGTTTGGGTGCAGGAGGGAGCTCTGGATTTGCGGGGGCTCAGGGCTAGTGCTGGGGCAGGGGCTCAGTGTTGGGGCACAGGCTTATCTCAGGCGGCTCCTGGTCAGCAGAGCAGTGGGGCCAAGGCAGGCTCCCTACCTGTCCTGGCACTGTGTTGCACCCCAGAAGCAGCCAGCAGCAGGTCCAGCTCGTAGGCAGGTGGCCAGGAGGCTCCATGTGCTGCTCTCGCCCATAGACATCGCCTCCCAGCTCCCATTGGCTGTGGTTCCCAGCCAGTGGGAGTGCGGAGCCTGTACTCGGGGCAGGGCAGTGCACAGAACCCCAGGGCTCCCCCACCTAGGAGCCGGACCTGCTGGCCGCTTCCAGGGCACAGCCCAGTGTCAGGATCAGTAGAAACTAGTCTGCCTTAGCCCCCCAGCACCGCCGACCGGACTTCTAACCATCAAAAACCAGATGCCTGGCAACCCTACCTTAACCAATTATATTAATTAGAGTCATATATAATATGTAGCTTTATAATATTTGAGACTCTCAGAACACTTCACAAACTAATGCATTTAGCTTTATAAAACTGCTTTGAGGTAGGTAAGTATTACTCTACTGATTTTACAGGTGAGCAAACTGAAGCAAAGAAAGATTAAGGGACTTGCCCAAGGTTACACAGCATATCTTAACTAGAGAGTGACTATAAACTGATACTGGAATTTTGAGACGATCCCATAGGGATCAGCCCCAGGTTGTTCCTTGCCATTTTGATTGTGCTTGTATACTGACGGGAAGCATGGCTGTCAGCACAGATGGTTAAAGTATAATGTTATAGAAGGTGCCATACTGGATGAGATTAGTAGTCCATCTAGTTCAGTATCCTGTTTCTGGAAGTAACAGCTGCTTCCCAGGAAGATGCAAAAAATGGTAGTGAAAATGGTTACAGAATAATTTGCCCCAGGGAATAATTTGCCCCTTTAGTTAGGGGTTGCCTTATGTCCTGAGGCAGGAGGATTTATAACTCCTTCCAAACTTGGGCTTCCGAGTTGAAGCTGAGGTGTGAGTCATACCTAGCAACCTGACCCCCTCCCTGGATTGATGGGCCCAAATCCTGAACTGTGACTGAGGAGTGCTCAGCATAGCAGTGGCAAGGGCGTGCCCAAGTAAGTTTAAACCACCGTTTGTCTTCCACTCAATCCCTGGTCATGTCATGCTGACTGGAGCCAGAGATGAGGGATTTGGGGTGCAGGTCCCTCCCTGCAACTAAGAGCAGCCTGCTGGTAATGCAGGGGTACAGAAAAGAAAGATAATTCATTAAACAAATAAGCCCCAACCCAAAACAAAGCAAAACAAAAACTTGGTCTTCAGTTTTGATTGAAGGTTTGGGTTAGTCGTTGTATCTGAAGCAGATCAGTTATTCCTGCATTCATCACCTGCACCAATTCTAGTATCACCTCCTTTGTATTGTGCAGAACAGTGTATTTGTTCTAAATCATGAGCTTGCCAGTGTGTCACTGATATCCATCTTCTTGTTCATTTTTCGAGGCATCTCTGAAACTCTCTATCAGCATGCAGGTGTCCTCTCATAGGAGGCTGCTAACCACTGTAATTGTCTCTTGCTTTGAAGTTATCAGAGAAATAGATCAAACTCTATATTATAACAGAATTTCAAAATTCTGCACCTTGATTGGAAAGTGCACTTAGTCTGCTCTGTGATTATGAATAATCCTAATGTCTAATAGAATGTGGCACTAGACATACACTTCTCTTATGATTATTTTCAGGCTTTGCAATTCTACATCATAGGTTCTCAAACTATATTCTGTTTATTGCCAGTGCTCAGCAGAGCCCTTCCTGGTAGTCCAAACTGGGGTTCTGGGAAGGAAGGTGGGTCAATGAGATGGTCTCTCTCTTATCAAATAGTCCAAAGAAAGAAAAGGCTGGATAACTCCAGCTCATCCATACAAACACCTGTGTCTGAAGCAGTCAGGTTAGTCACTAGACATGGAATTCTCCCCCCATGTTGTTCTTTTGTCATTTATCTACAAACAACCCTTTTTTTTTTAAATTTCAGGACGAATTCATGCCAAGAGATCTGCTGGTGCAAAGCTCTTCTTCTATGATCTCCGGGGAAATGGACTTAAATTACAAGTTATGGCCAATGCTAAGTGAGTAAACATTACTTATGAATAATGTGGAACAAACACACACACACACACACACACACACACACTGCTTCTTTAAATCTGTTGCTGCGAGCCTGGGAAGGCTGCCCGCAGAAGCTGTGCAGTGAAGCAGAAAGAGAGATGGAGTAGCTTTAGGAATAAAGCTGTTTACCTTATTCTAATGAAGTTGCTTGTTCAGTGTTAAGCTGTGCAGTGAAGCAGAAAGAGAGATGGAGTAGCTTTAGGAATAAAGCTGCTTACCTTATTCTAATGGAGTTCCTTGTTCAGTGTTAGAAGAAAGCAAACCTTTCTGTGGTCCAAACCTAAAATTCAGATCCAGATCCAAACAGCTCTGAACTTTGTGGTTTTAACCCCTTATTGATGGTGCTCTTCCAAGCAGCTGCTCCATAGCTCCTAGGAAGCTTAATTAGTTAATATTTGCACAATGCTTCAAACCGAATAAAGCTCTATAGGGGTGACCCAAAGCCCATTGATGTGATGAGTCTCCCCACTCACTTCAATGGGCTTCTAACCATAGCCTAATTAAAAGCTAAGTGTTTTTACTTTTTGGCTGGGCAAACTATTTGTTGTGAATAATTGTTAGTCAGATCTGGCTCTTTTCTGCTCATGAATTATACAGCAACAGATTAGTTTCTATACCTTTGTTCACACTTAGAAATTATTTGCTGAATGTTTGCATGCTAACAGATTTCAGCATGTTCATTGTTCTTGAACTGTTTGCTGTGATGTTCTATTTTGATTGGACACATAGAGGAGAGGTAGCGCCTTAGCTGGGGTAAATCAGCCCTTGGATGTCAAAGGAGCTATGCTGGTTTACCCCAGCTGAGGATGTGTTTCCAGAATGTGTGAGTGTGACTCTTATGAAATCCAGTTTTCTGGTGTGTGCTTGGGAATAGGAATTTGAAATTTGCTTTCTGCAATATTCACTTAAAATGTGCTATTTGGGCAAATATTCCTGCTAGTAAACATGTTAGACTATTGGCAGAAAGCAAATACAAAAGGGATGTGAACATAGTCAAAGTGAATGTGTGTGAAAATCTGAAAGAATCTTTGTGGCTATTTGCTGTACTTGTCTATTTATTTATTTTTGATGATTGCTTACATTCCGAAAACAATGAGATTTTAATTTCTATTAACCAACCCAGTGATTTAGTGAAGAAATCCTTTTTTGAATAGTTATAGTATCAAGGGGCAAAAAATGGAATATAACTTGAATTTGGGTAGTGTAGTTAAAGTTGACTGATCTTTTCAATCATATGTATGCTGTTAGTTACTAGTGTAAATTCATAGTGCATTTCATTTAGGTGAATTTTTATTTAAATTATTATTTGTAATCTATTATATTCTACCCACAACAACCATAAATAACTACATTTCAATCAAAAAAGAAATATCTTAGGATAATTCTTTACAAGGATGGTTTTAGTTTAACTGTGCTAAAAGTTATTTTCTACTCTAGACAGAAAGCTAATGGTTTGGAAAGGATTTTGCATTTCTAAGTCAGGTGCTTCTTTTTGTCAGATTTTTTAAGTCTGAAGACCTTTTCACCAAGACCATAGATAAGCTGCGGCGAGGAGACATCATAGGAGTTTTGGGATATCCTGGGAGAACCAAGCATGGAGAACTTAGCATCATAGCTACAGAAATAACTCTGCTGTCACCATGCTTGCGTATGCTGCCTCATCTTCATTATGGATTCAAAGATCAGGTAACTTCAATCAGGGACAACGGCTGGGGAGCCCATCGGTAGCTGCCTAGAATCAATTGTTCCATGGGATTTACTTTTGGCTCTTTTGTACAAGTAAATTCAGGTTGGCCTGTTTTTGTCTGTACAGTTTGAACACAAAGCTATGGATCTCATAATACCTTGAATTAATATAACATTTTTCAGTTCAAACTGCCACAAAGTGCTTTATGAAGAATATGCATGCAAACACCATTACTGAATTTCAGCCACTGCCGGGGTGCGGGAGGGCAGAAGCCAGCTTGCACAGATAGGGATGGGGAAATTTTGTACAAGGATATTCGGGCAGTTATTTACAAATGAAGCTGCTAGAATGTGTGTGTGTGTGTGCGAGAGAGAGAGAAGGGCGGGGGGCAGCCTGAAGGAAGGCAGACAGACTGTATCCACTGAGGCAGAGCAATCGACAGGGGAAGGACCAAACTGTGAGTGAGACTCGGCTGGAAGCCTGACACTCCCTTCCCGTCTTTCCCCCCTTTTCCTTGACTAGGGGCAACAACTGGACTCTGAGTGAGATGTGAAGCCCCCATCTCGCACCAGCTGAGGCTCTGAATTACTGAGACTTTGTTTTCCCTTCAGTTTGGGGCATTGCCCCAGCCTTCTGCTTGTAGAGAAGGTAGAAAGCAGCCCAGGGAGGCAAATCTGGAGTGGCAGCCAGAAGTGACAGAGCCACCCCATCCTCTCTCCCCCAGATGGGACCTGGTGGAGAACGAGGGCCTAGGTCCTCCTACGCTTCCCTTCTCCCCCAGCCACCTGAGAGATCCCAGAGGACTTCAGGGGACAACGAACTGTGACTTGGCTGCTGGGCCCTCTGGACTGCCCAGAAGAGCAGTCCCAAGACCCAGAGAGAGAGAGAGAGAGAGAGAGAGAGAGTAGTTGGCCGTGGCCTGACCACGTAGGCCTGATCGGA